ATTAAAAGTTATAAGGGCAGGGTACCTTTCTGCCTCCCCACTCCATTCCCTTGTACCATCCTTCGAGAAAAAAAAGGGGATGCGGTCGATTTTAAAGTGAAGCCATGGAAAAAAGCCAAATATATACGTTTTGTTTTAATTGTTTTCTTTCAGAACAAAGACTTTACTAATTATATATATATATATATATATTTTAATTTTTCTGAAACAGTAACGAAAATTTGAACACTGAAATAGAAAGTAAGAAACATGAATTGCGTCATTACGTAGAAAGGTAAGAAAAAAACATTGCTGATGGACTCACTCATAGATTACCTTTACTGATATAAAGAGTAACTTCGGACAAAATGCCTCGTCCGCAGAACTTAAAATTATCAATATATTAACTTCTGAAAAAAAAAAAAAAAAAACTTCTGAGGTGGCCTCCGTTATAAGCCTGGTGGTTTCTTTTGGAGTTCTCCTCGCCGCTTTTTTAGTATTGTCAATATCTTTTGTTATTATTTACGTGGCAAATAAATGATAATGATGAAAATAATCCAATGTGATTTTTGCTCTAATTTGGTTCGATCCCGGTTGTCGTCGTTTGTGATTGTTATCGAGCACTACATGTCCCTTATTTTTGCTGAAGCAGGACCATCATATGCAAAATATTTTTCCACGAACTACTATTTTCATCAATATCAAAGCTAATTAATGCAGTTCATTAATGCTGGACGGTTGCTGAACGAGTTGTGTCCAGCAAATAGTAATCGAGATACGTCCTGTTGCTTGTACAGTCACAGACGTTTCGAGACTGGCGTCTGTTCATCAATGCACACACAAACTTTAATCAAGCGGTTAAGTCATGGACAGCTCTTGGGTGGGCGTCTTATAGGTCACATGATTTAGAAATGACCTGTTACCACAATGGGGCCTGGTAGAAACACTTCCATACAAAATTAGCGTTACTCACATGTTATGTTTACGTAAATGAAACTCGTTTTCAAATAAGTATTTTTCTATGAGAGCCAATTTTGGAAACAGAGCGTCATTCTAAATCTTTTATGTGTTTGTGCATTTCTAATCTGTTAAACCTGGATTCACTCAAACTGAGTGTGTCCATGACATTTTTAGGTTCAAGCATCAAGAAGAACAACACAAAAGTGACTTGTCACTTAAGGAGATCGAAGTGAAAAAACTGAAACAAAGGTAATTAAAAACATCTGGATTTATATCTAATGAAAAATAAAATGCCAGACGCCTTCCTTATGGCTTCAGTGCAATAGGAGGCAACAATAATTTGAAATACCAAGACACTAAAAAGAAATCCGCTGAGTTTCTATCGCGATGTTCACTGTGAAATAACATTTTACTCATTTCTATGGAATTTTATAGGGGAGGCTGGCGTCATTGTTGCTACTGAACTTTAGGAACAGACCAGCATGCGTATATTCTGTTTTT